GTTGGTTTCCAATAATAATGCAGTGCTGCTAACATAACCTAAATAGAAGCTATGGAGATAATACAATGAAGCTAGCAATTGCCATGCTGTCCATCAAACAAAATGGAAGTTGTCCTTTCCTTACGATCCTAAGCATATCTGTCAAAAAATTATGTTGGCGGCACTGCGAATGCTTTCATTTTGTGGAGCTAACTTCAGAAATGGTATCGCAAACTGCACGTTAAGGTTTGGTCCTTTCATACATCTAAATTGGGTGCTTGTTAACTTTTTTCTTCTTTTCAACCCCGAATTTTATTGGCCTGTGTAATTATTAATGAAATTATTTTTGAGTAAAAGTGGAGTTCTTGATATCTTCCTTGAAGTTAATTCGAATTCTACAATGCTGCCAACCTAACTTAACTGCGATTTCATGAACCCTAACTCAAAGCGCGTAGTCACAACAGACAGATTAGTTAAATTGCGTTGTGAGATTGAGTTGGAAATAAAGGTCATTTAATCGTACCATGACCTAACATAAATTTTGTGTGTTATGATGTGACTGTAGTATATCCATCAAGGTTCATCAGATTAAAAGGTTGACACTATTGTGAAAATTTAATACATACATTTTGGAGTCAGTTTCAGGAGGGTGCGTAAACTGGTGGAGTCTTTTCTTTGTAGCTTCAATATTTTCGATATTGAATTTTGACGTACAGTAGAAAAAAATATACAACGTGTTATTATTATACATCACGATACTGAAGTGAAACATCTTCAAACACACAAACATACCGGGATAGGGGTTAAGGAATTTGTTTAATGGTATCATTTGTACACTATGCTTCGCACGGGTGCAATGCTGATAGTAAATGTACCATAGAATGTCTTTATATACAACAATCACAGCTTTTCTGACTTTAGGACAATACAAACCGGCCGGTACCGCCGCAACCGCTATGACCCTGCATTTTTGTTCTATAATATCTTCGAAAATATTCATTTAAATTACATGCTGTAAAGGGCCATATTAATCTATATTAAATGCACAATGTATTTAAAAGTACCTAATTGGATAAGGATTAATGCTGTATTGCTTCGTGAATAAGCCATTATTCTTCGTAAAAAGAGTAAAGGATAAAAAATGGTTATTGTGGGTTATCCCTAAGAGATAGACATATACCATCACGGACTTATTTGTAGACCTTTTTAAGGTGTACAATACTGTAGTATATTAATTTGATCCATCTCGTAGGGTTCAGCCAGCGTTTGCAATGTAAGCGCAAGAAAATGTGTTTATTTACGACATCACATTAGAAACCTCTAAAATTATCAGTGTTTCTCTACTATATTATGCATGTATTATACATACAAATCTTTCTTTTGAATTACTCTGTCTATTAAAAAAAAACTGCATTAAAATCCGTTGCGTAGTTTTAAAGATCTAAGCATACATAGTGACAGACAGCGGGGGAAATGCGTTGCATGATTTCGTTACATAGCAACTCGCATGAAACGAACTTACTCTACCGTGCGTAAAGAAGTTTCACTTCAAAAAACTGTGCATGCAACGATGATATAGGTCAAAAACGTCGAAAATTAGCTCTTTTCAAAGGGGTCGTTTTGAATCCTTTATTAATCGTCCACAGCTTAAGAAATCGCCGAGTAGGCAGTTTATCAGATTTCGACCCTTTGTACGAGCATATTCAAAGAGCGCCGCCTCCGGCCCTGAAGAGTTTTTTACGTGACGACCTATACAAAGCGGAATTCGCAAAAGCTCGCCAAGGGCTTTCGTCAACGTAGAAGAAAAAAAAGAAATAAAATAGTTTGCACACAATGAGATAAAGGCTCTCCTGCCGCGGCGTATATCTAAAGGTAGTGTCCGATAGGTACTTTTAAAACCTCCCATCGGGAAAACAAATTCAGTTATGTACTACCTATATGTGCATACGTACATGTAGGGAGGTATTTCGGTACCAATAAGTATTGAGTTACACTGCTTCTTAATTATACCTTTTAAATTTTCTCACAAAGTACCCATGGGTAGGGCATATAATGCAATAATACGTAAATCGTTCAACTCGACGAGTTATTATTAAACAAGCAGTTATTGGAAATGTTTTTATGGTAAATGCAGTCCTTTGTTAAGTTACGGAATGTGAAATTATAGGGCGCGTCGACACGATCTTATGGCTCCCGTGGTTCTGTAGGAGCTCTTTTACCTTTACCACCGAATTAACATCATTTAGCATCTTTTAAAGTAGCTTAACTACCACCGTACATTGTAAATGTCGTGATCATCAATTTTTATGCACACCAAGTAACCTCAAAAATGTACAATTTTTATCAACTGTTTTATTTTACATACTTGACTTTAATTAAGTAGATGAGTACCTACGTGGGGAGTATACCAACAAGTAAAACAATGAGCCAACGCAATAAATGCGATTGGTATTTCCCAAGGTTTTCAGGCGAAAGAGGAGAAACCTTAAAGGTAATTTAAATTATATAGGTAAATAAAACATTTTTACCAAATACAGAAGTTAAACATTCCTTTATCGACATTTTTAGATAGTAGAGTTTTAGAGTATGTTTTTTCAAACACACTTTATCTGAAAACATGAAAAACTGTCAAACGAACTGTTAAAATGTTTTGAACAAACATTTAAGTGAACTTAAATATATTAGATACTTTATTACTTATATGAAAAGATCATCATCATAAGGTCGTCAGTCCTAATACTGGTTGGATACGCACCTCTACTATTTCCTATCCTGAGCTAATCTCCGCATTTCTCTAGCCCTTTCCTTTCTAAGAAGGTGTCCTACTAACCTATCTCGCCTATTTCTTATTGACATCCATAGCGCCATCTGTTCTCCTACTCTTTCTAATACCTCCTCATTTCTAACCTTCTCTATTCATGGTATCCTCATTATTTGCCTGTAATATCAAATTTCGAACGCTTCGAATCACTTTCGAAAAAATGACAGAAATTATTTGTACGAATTTCGCTATACATCGTCATATTTTTCTAAAGATGGTGTTGCCCTCAAAGATGTTACAGTATCCATTATAAAAGCGATAGGCAACGGAACCCTTTTTGAAATTATTTTACTAACTAATAACTTGACGTCTATATTCATAGAAATTTGTCAAAGAGCGACTTAGGGTTTTTCAGCTGTTTTGCTTTGCTGTATCGGGTTTAAAAAGTTCGGAAATGTTAAAAACTGCAGAAAGAATAAAATCTAAATAAACTTTTCGGTGTGTACCTAATTGAAAAACCATCTGGTTCATACGAGTACAAAGGTATAAACATGCATTTAAACATTCACCACATACCCATTTCTTACGGTGCATGTTTTATTAATGAAGCTTACTAATAATACAGAAGTCCTTCGATTACAGAAGTTTCAATGCAACAATTTGTGGTATTTAAAGTCTTTACATTAAGTGCATACCAATTTCAGAAATTGATTGTACTGAAAAAAGAAAACAACGGTAAACAGCACATTTCTGTACTTCTAGAAAAAGAAATATATTTCAATCTTTTATGGGAAATGTGGTTGGAGAGGTAACCACGTTTTAACCTTGAAATTGTTTATTGAAGACACAGAATTTCTACACTATTATATGTATTTTAATTTCTCTTTCTATTTATTAATATTTAATTTATTGTTATTCTAATTATCTAATCGTAAGTGTTAACGTATGCTTAGTATGCTTAGATTTACAGATGATATAGTAGTATTAGTATCTAGCAAGAAGAGATACTTTTAAATAAAATGGAAAGGAAAATAAATAAAAGTAAAACTAAAATACTGGTATGCAAGGGAAGAAAAAGTAGGGAAAGAGCGTATATAAAAATAGGAGACGAAGAATTAGAAGAAGTGACAGATTTTAGGTATCTAGGGAGTCAGATATGTCAGGACGGAAAGAGTAGTAGGGATATGAAGCAGAGGATAGCGCAGGGTCGAGTCGTCTTTAATAAAAAGAAGTAACTTCTATGCCCGCGAACGATTAATACAGGTGCGAAACTTGGACAGTGGGCGCGTCGGAAAGGAAAATGTTAGAAGCGTTCGAAATGTGGTGTTATAGGCGAATGAAGATAGAGAAGGTTGGAAATGAAAAGGTATTAGAAAGAGTAAGAGAGTCAGAGACATATTAGAGGCAAAGACAGGAGTTAGGAGGGGTAGAGGTAGACCTAAATTTGATTACTGTTCGCAAATAGTTAAGGATACGGTTGATCTAATTTTAGGTAAATGCGAAGATTACCTGAGGATAGGAAAGAGTGTAGGTGCATGTCTTAGGACTGACGACCTTGTGATGATGAGGATGAAGTGTAAACGTAGCCTTGGTTTGTAAAATTGAATATGAAATATGAATGTGTATACCACTTGTTAATTAAAGATTTAAAATGAAATATGTATTGATGGAATAAGTAATTGGCTACAATTTTTTAAGAGCGACATGCAGAACTATGAACACAGCTGAAAACAAAACAAAACAGAATCAACTCCTTTCCTGCAATGTAGCCAGTAGCTGTCACACGACAAACCTACAACATTTTATATTATACAGTTTAAACGCTCAGATCGCTTGTGTCGATTCAGTTCAGTCGACGTATCAATTTCGTAGTTTTACTGTTGCGAATAAATAATGAAATGCGGTTCGATTCGTTGTCGCCGGTCATTTTTTCCAAACATTTCCGCTGCATTAATTTAATAATCCGCTCCAACGGCAGCGACAGTAGCATCAACATTAATAACGCCATAAAAACCGGTAGCCGTGTTTAACAGATAATTGGTTGTCAAACGTAATGCATGGATTAACATTTATTCGAAATGTCGGATATGGATTTCAAAACGACTACCGGCAACGTTGTTGTCTGGTCCTCTAGAAGACGGCCGGAGAGGTCCGCGATATTATGTATCAATTAGATTCTGATCGTGGATTACAGAATTCGGCATTATTTAACAAAAGTTACAAAAAATTTTTGTTATTAAATTCATTTCAAAAAGCTTACCCATTTGTTTTGGTGTAATTCCGGTTAACGATAGCACAATCTGAAACAAAAGACAAACTTTAAACAAAATATTATGTATTTTTAAAAAGGAAGTATCTACACTTGTATAAACTTTAAAAGGAAAACGTTAACAGACAGACGCGGGTCGCAATTATAATCTTATTTGGTGCCATCAGCACGCAGTAGGCAGTCTCAATGAATCACTTGCCAAACCGAAGAAGCTCCTAAACAGCGAGTTGATGTACAAGCAAGTGTATCGCCATCTACTGGGTATTTACTGCTACTAAAGTATTTTATGCCTTCGCTAAAGTTTCACTAACGTCATTCTAGTAGGTATAGTTGTACTGTTGATGTAGTATTACATTTTTATTAGTTTATTACAAATAAGTAGGTCTTTTAAAGATATATTTGTACCTTGTAAAAGTTAAAGTTTCTTAATGTGGATTGACAATAGTTAAGTGTATTCAGGAAACGTAGAAACCGAAGCGACTTCCCCTGTTGGTGCATATAGATAGGTATTATAGGTAGATATGCAAATGGAATAATAATAATAATAATAATAATAATAATATCCGAAATCGATAAGGATGTCATGTGGAACGGACATGTACATAGTTATTTTGCAACAAGACGTTAACGATTCAAAGAATGACCGCGTTACGTTGCACTATCTCCTTGCAAGTCAACCACGTTGCAGCGAGCACATCTTCCGATACAAGCACTCCATGAATTAGCATTGTCATTTGTTAGTTGATATAAGCTGATAACTATGAGACCTGACTAGACAACTGTAACAGCTTGCATTGTCAGCCTTATTATGCACATTGCCATACGGGGTGAAGATGTGAATTACGAGATACGGCGCCGTGGAATCGTATTAACGTAAAATCTTCAGGGAAAAAGAACTTGCACAAAATGAAAAAATAAACTATGGAATTCATAAGAATTAGTCAAAGGGTAGATTTGTAGGACACCTAATCAAGTTAAAATTATATTAGGAGTAAATATAGGTAGAGTTAGACCCAGATTAGATTACTGTGAGGTTGCCCTAATTTTGGAGAAAGGCAAAGATTGGATCAAACTGGGAAGATGTGGAAGTGCGTGTTCAACAGAGTTTGGGTTGAAAACCTTATGATGATAACTATATAAAGAAAGAAAAGTTAAAAAGTGAGAAAAATGTAGATATATGTTTCACATTTATTTGACCGAAGATATAAACTTTTAATCAATTAATTTTTGATATACGTATCTCCATCCATTGGTAAAATGTTAATAAGGAATGGTCAGTAGAGGCCACTGACCATGCAAGGCATCACATTGAAGATGCCATCTTTCAAGCATTGCGAAAAGTTCGCAGATAGCATCGACCATGGCAGCTTATCATAAATATTTTTAATTTAGTTTAAGAAGTCACAAAAAAAATATTTCTCAATATCTTCAACTAACTCTAGGCAGGAGTTTGCCCTAAAGTTCATCTTAAAATTCAACTAACTCACAAGCTGAAAACGCGAAACCCATTTTGAATAGGTATACAAACGGAAGAAATAATATCAAACTAGTGACAGTGTATCGCCACCTAGCGGATAATAAACTAGTCATTATTTCGAGCCCGCATATTCTCTTTGCGTCTGTAAAATGTATTGGCATCGATCTACCTGTAGAATAAAACATTAATATACAATAATATGAATTGGTATCGGAATGGACATGGCAACAATGGTTTATATAATTGCAACACAAGTAAAACATGCGTTTTATTCGCCACCGCCGCGCTGCGTCTGTCCTGGCCGTTGTAAAATGCCGAGGTCTTATTACGAGACGTTTTCAATGCGTTCGAGTTGTAGATCGCTACGCGGACGCTGATATTGATACATGTGTGCACTCGTTAAGGAGAATAATTAGATAACCGCTGCAAGTTGTTCCGATAGATGCGACTGCGACTGTGAGTCCTTTTTCAGGAACCGCGATCAGCCGTGGCAGGAGTAGTCCGTGTGTGCAAGAAGACGACGGGTTAGTTATCGTTTTGTAATATGTCCACTAGCTGTTCGCAGTGAAGAATGCGTGTGCATACACGTTCTAATTATTCAAGACTCGTTCGCGTTCAATTGCATCCGAAGAGAACATTCCAACACAAAAATGTACCCCTGTACTTGACTCTGTACTTACATGCTTTCATACATACATATTCGTATGTACTTTTATCTACACCATAACAAATACCCACACGTTCTATCTTCTGACAACTAAATACCAACATGTGTGTACATGTAGTACTTTTCCCTTTTTCGAGATACAATCGAATCATTTTAATTATGAAATGGGTTCTGCTTCGACATTTGCTGCAGAGATGTAGCAGAGAATGATCTAATTAGGAAACTAAAGAACATATCTTGTTTGTACACAATGATGTAAGGTTGTCTGAAGGAATTTGAATAGAAATGTGTCGCCTTTTTCTTTTTCTTTTTGAATATCACAATAAATGAGATGCTGGAATTTTTGATATTAACTAAATAAGAACATCAATGTTCTTGTTCTCAGTACTAATAATAATTTCTGTCACTAATTGTAAGTGCGTTTTTGGACATCCAAAATTCTCACAAAAACACTGGATTTACATGATTAAAAGTACTTATAATGCTTCGATAATATTGATAGAAAGTTTCAATAACACAAGCATCTTGGACTTACAAAACTGTTAATGAAGAAATTTCATTACAAAGCGTGAGGTACTAGAGTTGTTGATGTTTGCAAAATAAAGACTTAAGCATGTTTAATTCTAGTGAAAATGTTAATACTAAACGCATATTTGTGTGTTCAAAATCCTTAAACCAGTTTCGCCACAAAAGAGAAGTACAAGGTAAAAATTTTGCGTAATGGTCTTCTTCATAGCAAGTAGTTTATATTTATTCGCAGGGAAGAAACTTTTAAATAATCATTCAAGATTTACAATCGGAAAAATAAGAAAGTGTTGTCAAACGGTAAGGTATATATTTAACTTTAAGTTTGCAATACATAATTTCATTGACAATATGTCACTTTACTAAACAATACCTTTTCTATAGTTACCTCTGCTATCAATATTTGGAGACATTCAATATTGCGTCTTTTCGTGATGGTTCTCTTCTTGTGCGGCCGACTATCCAAGCTCTCTTTCGGAAGAACTGCCGGCTGGTCTCGTCGAGAGGTTCATGTACGTGACACCACGTCAGATTGCATCAGCGTCACCTGTGACCGACGCTTGCTTGATCGTAAGTCTGTGACTGAGCATCTACGGCATGCTTGATTAATCGTGCAAACACGGCCGCCAATAAAGAACCAAGCTCTAAAGGGTCGTTTGCTCCAGTTTGTCTCTTTTTTTTCTTTCCTGTCTTTAGGATAGGCTGGGAATACTTGAACACATGCAAGACACAAACGTGTTCGAGAGAAACGCCTCAACGTGCTTTGAAATCGGATGTAAGCTATACGGCACATTGTAATATACTTATCGTATTATGATTGTTATTAATATACACAAGATTAGGAGATGTATTAGAAAAAGAAGATAGTGTGGCGATAGATGAATCAGGTTAAATTTAGCTTAACTTCCCATGCGTCAAAAATCTTAACCACAATTGTACAGAGAAGGGTGGAAAAAAGGGTGCTAGAACTATATGGAAAGATCAATTTGGGTTTAGAAGAAATAGAGGAACGCGAGAAGCCATTCTAGCTTTACGGGTGACAATAGAGAAAACGGAAAAGAAAGAGCGTCTACATAGATTTAGAAAAAGCTTTTGACAATGTTAAAATGGACAAGAAGTTAAATATACTTAAAAATGTAGGGATGAGTCGCAGAAATAGAAGGGTGATACCTAGTTTGTATAAAGAGCAACAGGCAGTTATAGAGCTGGAACAGCAACGTAGAGAAGTAAATATTAGGAAGGGATTCGGATTAGGGAAATGCGAAGATTAGCTCAGAATAGGTAAGAGTGGAGGTGCGTGTCCAACCAATCTAAGGACTGACGACCTTATGATGATGATGAAAACAATCATATTGAAATTTGCGAAAGTAAATAAAAAGGAAAACTCTAGTGCAAAAGGAAGAAAAGGGGCAGTACTCGTCCTTGCATGTCTAGTTTAAAGAAAATTGAAATTATGATCATTTAGATATCTCTTCAAATTGATTACCCTCTGTTAGTCTGTTTTACTTTGGTTTGTATTTCATTTCCCTAAGTTGTAAATTTTATTATTTCCGCTTGCTATTTCATATTTAAAACAATTTTGGTTAGTAAAATTTTTTTAGAAGAAGAATAATGTAATATTCTAATAAATTAATGCTAACACGTGTTCCATATACGCGATTACTTACTGGTAGCGATTAAACTAATACAGGAAACTAACGTGTTGCTAAGTAGTTATTGCTAGGTTGCACATTTCACTAAATGTGTTCCTTTTTGTACTTCGAGACTGAATCGAATCGACTCGACGAGGAGAATGTCTCGAATGCTGGCTGACTGGTGCGACATCACGAAATTCGCCAATTCGTCTTCGAGATAACGTGCAAAGCCAGAAAGACTGGGAGTTTTGGACAACTCTCTTCCTCCATTAATTAGACGCGTTTTAGTGGAAAATAAATTTCCCTGCAGTCTGGTTTGAATATAACTCATTTTTCAATGGGAGAACGTAAAATAGAATGTCCCTGATTACACTTTAGACATTTTCTAATTTGATTTACGTCAGTCCGATTGGAAGATAAGCAATAACAAACGGCTTACGGTAACTAATGGCTACGGAAAGTTCGGAACGACATCTACATCTGGTTTTGGTTAACTTCGGAGCGTACATAATACTTTTAAGAATACATTAATCTATAGACGAATTTGTCTTGATTTAAGAGGATCTCCTTCGGATTATTAATAATAATATGTACATAATACAGATGTAATCTATTCAAAATATATATGTTTCAGTTTAATTTTAATATTTTTTTAATCGTTACAGATAGATTTGCTTGTCATTATTCAACCTATTTTATTTCATTATATAGGAAACTAGCTTTTCCCC